GCAGTCATCAGTGTCTGTTCCTTCTGGTAAGACAATCTTTATCTTCAGTTTTGTTTTATTGTTTTCCACTTAGAACTAAACATTTCCTATCCTGGAGTCAATTCTGCCCCATAGTGACCTATGGGACAGAGTAGAGCCATCCTTTTGAGTTTCCAAGGCGGTGAGTCTTTTTGGAAATAGAGAGCCTCATGTTTCTCCCGTGGAGCAGCTGGTGAATTCAAACTGCTGCTCTTGCGGATGGCCGCCCATCACGCTACTTCATATCTCTATCACCCAGCAAGGGAGAAGTACTGTTTCAGGGTGGAATGGCTAGTCTCAGCACGGACTCCTATCTCATCTCACTGTATCTTAATTATTTACTCCATCCTGGTTTCCATGAGTTGAGCTGCTAACTGCAAGGTCAGCAGTTCAACATCACCAGCTGCTCCTCAGCTGAAAGATGAGGCATCTACTCCTATAAAGAGTTACAGGCTCAGAAACCCTCGGGGGCAGTTCTACCTTGTCTTATAGGATCTCTATGACTCAGAATCAACGTGATACCAATGAATAGCAGTAGTAAAGGAAGGAAGTATGTAGGCCTCACAGATTCTTAGCAGATTAGCCAAACCATATTCACTGCCATGAAGTAGATTCCGACTCATAGTGACAGGGTAGAACCGCCCCTGTGGGTTTTTAAGACTATATAGCTACAGGAGCAGAAAGCTTCCTTTCTCCCACTGGATTCAAACTGCTGACTTTGCAGTTAATAGCCCAAGGCATAGCCCCCCTAAGCCACCAGGGCATTCATAAATGAGTCAAGATTCCTAACCCAACGGACTATCTAGCAGGAAAATATAATAAATCTTTTAAACCTTGGTTCTACTGGACCTGTCAGATGGGGGATGAGCACACAATACTTGAATATTATTCACAAGCATGGTCAAAAAGTTGTTAGAGAAAACAACAGGTAAACCAATTTTGTTGGAAAGACTCTACTACTTCAGAGAATTGTGGGTCAAACTTTACCAAATCCCACACTTACTTCCATTGAGTTGATTCTGACTCAGAGCAGGAGGGTGTAGGGTTTATAACCTGGATAGGGTTTTGGAGGTTGTAAATCTTTACGAGAGCAGATAGCCGCATCTTTCTCCTTAGGAGGTTTGAATCTTGGACCCTGTGTTTAGCAATCCACAGTGCCACCAGGGCTCCTTTAGCGATCATAATTATGCTGAGTGAAAAAAGACTAAAGAAAGTACATGTTGTATCATCCATTATCTAAAATTTGAGAAGATACAAACTAATCTGTAGTGATGAGTTGCCCTTGAGTCAGTTTTCACTCCTGGAAACCTATGTGGCCTAGAGTAGTGCTCCACTGGGGTTTCAATAACTGACTTTTCAGGAATAGATTGCCAGTCCTTTCTTCCTAGTGCCTCTGGATGGGCTAGAGCCTCCAACCTTATAGTTAGCAGCTGAGCACATTAATCCTTTGCATCTTCCAGGGACTCCTTAAAAATGAAAAGGGGATTCCTGGTTGCTGGGGGGGGACATAAAGAGTGGCTCGCTGGAGGAACTACAGAGGTCAGGAGGAAATTTGGGAGTGATGCATATGTTCCCTATATTGATTGTGGCCATGATTTCATGGGTGGAAACGTATGTCAAACTTACAAGTATGAGATTAAGTCATAAAGGATTGCTATAAAATCATAGGAACCTTTACTCAACAAAATAATCAAAATGCTAAGAACACATTAATCCCTTGACATCATCCAGGGACTAGTAGAGATGAAAAGGAGACCCAGAGTCGCAGGGAACGGACATATTATCGTTGTTTCATGACACATCTGTCACCTAGTGCTATACACATCTGTAGGCAGTGTGGTGTTTCCGTTTCTCTAACCCTCCCCTGAACAATTCTGTGCTTTCTGCACTATGACAAAATGATAGTTTTGGCATCATTAAATAATATATACTTTCATGTCAACTTGAAGTGTAGGGGTGGAGTCTAGCCTGTCAATCAGGTCACAGCCTGATGGTGCCTCCTTGTGGGTATGACCTCCTCATAAGGAGGTTCCTGGGAACCTCCCCTCTCTCTGCCATCATCTTCCTGCTATCTAGTCACTCTGGGAGCTGCCACAGCCACTGCCATTGGATTCACAGGACTTTGCACCCACCAGCCTGTGGTGTTCCTGCATTCTGCATCATTGCATGGGGCTTCATGAGTCTGAAGAGGGACTTATGGACTAGTATCCAACTTATGGACTTGAGTTGAACTGGGCTGGGATGTTTTATTGATGCATAATTACTTCTTGATATAAAGCTCTCTCTTACATGAGTGTCACTGGATTTGGTTCTCTAGTCAGCCTGGCTAGATATAAAGTTCAAATATTATTTCAATGTTCTTTTTAATGTTCTTTGAGTTTGGTAACAAAACACAGTCTGAAGAGACAAGATCAGAGTTTAAGGGTGGCTGGGTGTAAGGTTTTCCAAGGAAAATCTCCTAGGATAACCTTTGCTAGTCTCAGGAAGATAATAAACAGGTTCCTTATCATGAAGAGAAAAAAATTCCTAAGTGCAACTTTCCTGGCTTTTTTCTCATTAATGCAGTTTTCCCATTTCTTCATTTTTTCCTGTAAGTCCCTGTAATTGCATCCTGTGACCTTAAAAAATCTATTAAAATTGCTTTTTTGGAATCCTCAAAACCAGTCACCATAAACTTCTGAGTTGACATCTCTTCCTTGAATACATCTTGTTAGCTTTCTCGGCTTCCCTTTAAATGCTCCATCCATCTAAAAACTTGTTTTATGTAGCACACCATTTCTGTAAGTGTGTTGCAAAGCTTCAATGATTTGGGAAGGTGTACACTTCAATGATTGTTAAAATTTTGATATTACCCCTGACCTTAATGTAGGTGCCCACCCCACCCCCCACCTCATGACACTTTTTTTTTAAAGCACATTAAGAGACTAAAACGGGTATATTACTGAGAGAACATGTCTGCAGTCATCACTGATCATGGAGACATGTTTAAACACATTTTGTTTGGAATAAACCCATGCATGCATGAACTGGACCTCTAGTAGCAATATTTTCTGACCAATCTTCTTCTGTGCAGTTTATTATTATTCCAGTAAGGTAGAGAAGGTGATTACGAACAGCAATGTTTTTAGGACGATTAAACTGTGTTCTTCAGGGTGGACATCAAGGAAAATCAGGAAGAACCGTATTTAGTAAACGACCACAAAACAAAACAAAAAAGCAAAATCTGGGCTGTTGTGTGGTAACCAGGGAAATGGAAACGCAGGCGTCTTTGATAAACAAGCTGTGTGGTGGATGTGTGTCTATCCTCGAGCTCTTCGGAAGGAAAGGATGGTTAACCCCGGAAACAGTTTTACAGACAAAAATAGGAAAGGTCTGATTTGGGCTAAGAAAATAGGTTGGCATTTTGAACAAGGACTCAAACCCTCTGCTCTTCAGTTGATTTCTACTCAGAGCCACCCAGTCGAACGGAGAATTGCCCCCTTTAGATGTCTGAGACTTTACATCTGCAGCCTATAGCCTCATCTTTCTGCGGCAGACCCACTGGTGGGTTCGAATCGCTGACCTGCTGTTTGGCAGCTCAATGCCTAACCGTGCCTCTACCTGAGGCTCCTCGGAATGGTTGGGATGTGCACCTTGAGAGGGCACTGCACGGGCCAGGATCAACGAGCCGATTGGAGACCACGCTGCAACCCCAGCGTTGGCCCAGGCTGCCTACGATTCCAACGGTTCCCTCTCCGAGTTCCACCCAGAGCTCGCAGAGAAACGTGTGTGCAAGTCCCGCCTGGAGGAGCGGAGATCTGAGAACACCCCACCCAAACCGGGAAAGGGGCGGGAGAGGAGGGCGCTCGTGCCCGGCGCGAGCGCGCGGCTCGGGAGGCGGGAGCGCGCGGCCCCGGCGGCGGGAGCGCGCGTCCTTCACGTGACCTGGCCCGCGGGCGGCGACGCACACGACGCGCCCCTCACGTGGTCCTTCTGCAGCCCCGTGGCCGGCGGAGGCGGGCGCGGGCGCGGGCGCGTCCCTGTGGCCAGTCCCCCGGAGGAGTCGGTCGCACAATTATGAAAGACTCGGCTTCTGCTGCTAGCGCCGGAGCTGAGTTAGTTCGGAGGCTTCCCTGGGCAGTCCTTGTCCGGCGGCCTCTGCTGCCGCCTCCGGAGACGCGTTCCAATAGATGGCTACAGGCCGCGGCGGAGGAGGAGGTGGAGTTTCTGCCCTTCCGGAGTGCGCCCCGTGAGGAGAATGGTACTGGACCCACGCAGGCCCGAGCGGCCAGCGGCTCTGGGGGTGGCGGGTGGACCTAGCGGGGACCGGCTAGGCAAGCGTTGTGTGTGGCGCCACGTTCCTTGGGGCGAAAGTCCCTTGACGGTCTCGTGGCCCTGGCGGCGAGGGGCGGCAAGCAGCTGGCCCGCCGGGCGCTACCGCCCGGCCGCGGGCATGGCCCGAGCGGAGACCCGGCTTCTGCCAGGCCGCTCGGGCGGCCGGGCAGCACCTGAGGCCAGCGGCCGCAGCGCGCCGGCTGCCGCGCTCAGCCTCCCCGCCGCGCACCTCCCGAGAGCGCGGTCCCCCTGGCGCCAGGCGCTGCCAGATAAGGGAGCCAAATGCGCCGCTCAAGTTCTGCCTGGAAAGGAAGGACTGGGAGGGGACCCAAAAGGGGGGAGAGGACACGGGGTTGGAGCTGCGCCCTGGTATTTGGCCGCGCGCGCGGCGGGTACTCTACAGGTACATTTCCCGTTTGGAGCCGACGGGGAGGGATTTGGCGAGCTGGACTGTAGATCTGGGTTGGAATTTTTCGCCAGCAAGAATTAGGGATTTCATGAAGACGCCGCTGTAGGTACCAGAGCGATGTGCGTGTGGTCCGACTGTGCATCAAACTGCCTCCTCCGTTGTTGCATCGTGTTTCCAACCCAGGGTGCCGAGTAGGGAGAGGTGCACTGCAGCTTTTGGTAGGAGAACCAATTTTTCAATGCCTTGCAAAGAAAGCAGTGTAGACTAGGGACTTCAAAAGCAGGATTCCTGTTTCTGATCACATCTTAAACCTGATGGCATTGTGGGTTACCTGTTGGGCTACTAATCACAAAGCTAGCAGTTCGAAACCCACGCGCCACTCCTCCGGGGTGAGGGGCCGGGGGAGACGAGGTTTTCTGCTTCCATAAAGACTTACAGTTTTGGGAAACCACAGGGGCAGTTTTCTGCCTTATCGGTCGCCGTGGGTCAAAATTGACTCGAGGGCCGAGAAGTTTGGTTAGGTTTTTTCCCGAACTTGATAGGTTCTATGCCATAGAGCCTATGCAAACAATTCTCCCTCTGGCGGAGTTTGGCAGGTTTATTTTTCTCTTAAAAGTCCATTCAAAACCGAAAGCAAAATTTTACTTAGACCACAAATGTGGTTCTACTTTGAAAGGTTGCATCTTTCACTGTATTCCACCTTTTTTGGGTAACGTAGGCAATTTAAAAATTGGGTGGTTGAGGCAGGCCCTTTATCAACGCTAAATTGTACAAATATATTAATTAAATGAAATTGACTTAAGGGAATCTACTGGCAGTCTACTTTGGAGGGAAAAGTTGAATCATAGTAGTAGTACCTTTTTGTTTTAAAAAAGTAAACTTTTCATACTGAGTATCCAGAAATATATCTGCTGTTCCTTTTTACAAGGTAAATAGTATTTGTACATCAAGATCTTGGAATAAATATCCTGGTTAGTTAGAATGTAGAAATGAAGATATGCCATCAATTTCAAAGCCATTTCTCTTTAATTTTTTTTCTCAGCACAGCAATGGAAGACACATCCACTGCTTCACACTTTTACTGAGTGCTGTGATTTAGAAGGCTCTGTGATACTTCGTAGATACTTAGTAGTCGACGACTAATACTCACTGCTATAGTCTAGAGGGCAGTAAGCATGCAGATTCCGGTGGAAGCCCAGGGTAAGCAGAGAGGGGAGGCCTGCAAAGGAATCAATAGTGCAATAGGTGAATTTCGTAGAGTCAAAAGGAATTGAAATTAGAAATGGAAAGGGCATTGATTGAGTTGGTGAGGTGCTCAACCTGTGGGTTCCGACCCCTTTGGGAGTCGAATGACCCATTCACAGCGGTCGCCTGATTCATAACAGTAGCAAAATTACAGTTAGGAAGTCGCAACGAAAATAATTCTATGGTTGGGGGTCACCACACCATGAGGAGGAACTGTATTAAAGGGTCGCGGCATTAGGAAGGTTGAGAACCACTGCTTTAAGGCATCTTAACTCTAGAAAAGAGAAAGCACCTTTAATTTACTCTGGGAACTACTGTACAAGTATTGTATATAGTTAGGAATGAGTGTGGTGTGGATGATGTGAGGTATTAAGATTGTTAAAAGATAGGCCAAGGCCAGGTTTCTGAAGTATGCATGCCATGAAAAGGAGGTTGGATTTTATGCTGGAGGTATTTGGAGGATGAATTAGTATGTGGTTAAGCTGAAAAAGAGGCTATTGAAAGATTGACCCAAAATAGTCATGGCTTAACATAAAGAGATAATGGAAGAAAAGGAACAGCTTGAGATGTTTAGGAGTTAACAATTTTCAAACTGGGTGGTTAATTTTATAGAATAATCACTTCTTAATTTTTATTTCACTTTTTGTTGGAAAATGTCGCAGTAGACAAGAATGGAAAAAATATAGTTGAAGGCGGTACTTAAAAGGTACATTTTTAATTAGTTTTTCCAATGCAGATATGTTGAAGCAAGTATTTACAAAAATTTAAGTTTGAGTGTTCTACCCACATAAATATTTTGATCGCGTGCTCTGATAGTCTCTTGCTTGCTCTTCTAATATGGAAGATTTGGGACTTAAATGTTATTGTTAGGTGCCATTGAGCCGTGCTGGCCTCTCATCCATTGCTACGTTTGAGTTGTGCTGCAGTCGCCCTGTCAGTTGTGTCGAGGGTCTTCCTCTTTTTTTGCTGATCCTCTACCAAATGTGACCAAAAATCAAACCAGATTTACTGCCATCGAGTCGATTCTGATACATAGCAGCCCTGTAAAACAGGGTAGAACTGCCTCGTGGGTTTCCAAGTTGTAATTCTTTACATTTTATTAATCATTATTGGGAGCTCTTACAGATAATATAACAATTCATAATTCAGTTAGATCAAGCATAATTTTACAATTGCTACCACCATCAGTTTTAAAACATTTTCTTTCTTCTTGAGCTCTTTGATATCAGCTCCCCTCTATCCCCTCCCTCCCTCACCCAATTGTAATTCTTTATAGGAGTAGAAAGCTTTATCTTCTTCAGAGTGACTTCGAACTGCTGACCCTGAGTTAGCAGCCCAATGGGAAACCATTTTGCCACCAGGTCTCCTTCACCAAATATGAGAGTAGTCCAATTAACTCACATATACCCAGTACCATCGGTTGGGCTGCTAACTGAAATATTGGCAGTTTTAACCTACCAGCCACTCCACATGAGGAAGATGAGGCTTTATATTCTCACAGTGAATGACAGTCTTAGAAACCCACAGAAGTTGTACTCTGTCCTGTAGGGTCACTATAAGTAGGTGACGGGTTATTTTGTTTTATTTTTGTAATATTAGTAAGTACCGTGTATACTCAAGTATAAGCCGACCCAAATATCAGCTGAGGCACCTCATTTTACCACAAAAACTGCATTAAAAATGTGCTGAAAAACTTGGCTTATACACTAGTATATATGGTATTCAGTATTTACATCCCACTAATTGTTCTGTTTGAAACAGAACAGATCCAAAGAATGCTTAAACATTTGTGCATAGGCTTTGGCTGATCTATCTTTCTGTCACCAGATCACCTCCATTTTGTTTCTGTCTCATCCTTTACTATTGGGGGAACAGGTTACTTGCCCAGTAGAATTCCCACAGTTTAGATCTTTGGAATGCATCGCTATAGCATTATGTAACATGTTCCTGTCTTCTGTGTATCTCCTGTGTAGTTAATCTAACAATTTGATCAGATTCTGGTTTGATATTTAGGTAATGTGTCTTATTTCATTAAAAGACACATGTCTGGTTGATTTTCTTTACCTCTTAAGACTGACCTGGGGGTTCATATCAAACCCTTGACTCACAGTAAAATTCCCTGCCAGCCATTTATCTCATAGTTTTAGTAATTGCCATTGATGTATTATTTCTTTTAAGGTTCCTCCATCCTTCCTTATTCTTTTTTTTCCTCGTTTTTATTTTATTTTTTTGCTTTAAGAATATCACAGCAGAGGATACATCAGGTAAGATTTCTGGACCTACCTTTGTATAAGTACCACACGCCAAACGATGACGCCACTGGAGCTCCTCTGCACCTACTGTTAAATTGATTCTACTCTTTTCTGAATTGTTTCTACCCTATTACCATAAACTGCTGACTGCCTCTTGTAAGTTTCCTATCTAATTTTTCAAGTTGCTGTTGTCAATTTGATCTTTTGTTTGGGGAACCTCTTGGCATATGAGTAAATTTTGCAAAGCCATCATTCTATTTCTTTTTTTTTCTTAATCATTTTATTGGGGGCTCCTACAGCTCTTATCACAATCAATTGTGTCAAGCACATTTGGACATATGTTGCCATCATCATTTGTAAAACATTTTTTTTTTTGTACTTGAGCCCTTTCGATCAGTTCATTTTCCCCTTCCCTCATCCTCCCTCCCTCATGAACCCTTGATAATTTATAATCTTTTTTTTTTTTCATGTCTTACACTGACCGATGTCTCCCTTCACCCACATTTCTGTTGTCCATCCCCCTGGAAGAGGGTTATATGTAGATCATTGTGATCGGTTCCCCCTTTTTCTCACATCTTCCCCTTCCCCTCCTGCTGTCATCCTCTTCTTTTTAATTAACCTGTATAGTTGTCATTTTATCAATTCTGACCCGTGGTGACCCCATGTGTGCAGATTAGAACTACTCCATAAGCTTTCCAGTGCTGTGACCTTTCAGAAACAGGCCACCAGGCCTGCCTTTCGAGGTGTCTCTGGGTAGGTTCAGACCTTCAGCCTTTGGTTAGGTAAGCCCTTAGCTGTTTGTACCACTCAAGGACTTCTTTCTTAAATTCCAAACTCACACTCACTGCTTTCAGGGTCGATTCCAACTGACACTGACCCTAGAGAACAGGGTAGAACTGCCCCTGTGGGTTTCTAAGACTTATTCTTTTTTTTTTTTTACTTTATTCTGTATGGGAGTAGAAAGCCTCATCTTTCTCCATGGGAACTGCTGATGATTTTAAACTGCTAACCTTGCAGTTA